GCAGAGAGGGCTGCTCCACAGCGGCCTGGGGACGGGGAATCTGCTGCCAGTCACGCAACAAAATTCACTGTACAGCTCTCTTTGCAGGCAGAAAACCGGCCTGGGGATGGGGAATCTGCTGCCAGTCACACAACAAAATCCACTGTACAGCTCTCTTTGCAGGCAGAAAAGCTACTCAGGAGCTACCAAGTGAGTTCAGCCCCCCCCTGCGCCGTCCCCATCTCATCACGCCACGGCAACGGCTGAGAAGGAGCCTGGCTCCAAGCTACAGCCCACAACAGCACAAGAGCTGCAGGCTGAAGGTGCCCTGCTCTGCAGCTTTCTGCCGGGAGAACGACGGAACGGAGATGAAATCTCCCACTTCTCCACAGGCACGAGATGCAAACACGAGCTGACCCGAGAGCTACGCTCACTGCACAAGGAAAGGGAGCTGCTAAGGGGGCTGGAAGGGCGCTGAGAGAAGCTGGAACAAACTCTCGCCGGGCTATTGATCATCACAAACCACAGTGGGAAACTCTTCTGAGGAACAACCGCCTCTCAGCGATGGTTACTAGTGGACTCGACGGTCTTGAGGGTCTTTCCAACCTAACTGATTCTTAATTTTGCCTGTGCAAGAGGAGGAGGACAGGGGATATAACCTCACTGTGTATTTTGCCCTGTGAGATCATACTTACAATGGAACGTTACACACAAATCCACAGACAACAGCCTAAACTATTCTGTACAGGTTCAAAAATATATTAAAGTGCTGACCAAGCAATTATTCCACTAGCCCAAGGGAAAGCGTCGCACCTAGATGTGGGAGCAGAGCTGGAGCTCTCCTGCGCAGCAGTAACCTCGGTCTCCCTCCTTAACCTCCCTTTCTGGTCTCTTCTCTTAAGGGCAAGAGTAGGAAAAAAAAACAAATCAGATGATTGGGATGATTCAAATTCCTGGGGCTGCGGATAGGTTGCGGGCACCTGGATCACAAGGGATTAAAAAATATGTTCCCTGTAGGGGCGGGAAACTCTAACGGCCATCCAAAAACTGGAGGACAGCTTCCAGCAGAAAACAGAGTGGGAATGGCTGGTCAGTGCTTTATGACCTCCGAGGAAACTAAATGGTTGAAGAACTCGTGGATCTCAAAGCGACACCGATGCCTGCTCGTCTGCTGAGCACACCCAAAGGGCAGGAGGAAGGAGAAGGCTCCTACCTGCCACAACACCAACTGCTCAACCTAAGAAAAGGACGTTCTAGAAGAAGGAAGGGAAGATGGAGCTTCTGGAGTTTCTCACTGATGTAGTCTGGTGCAGTGCTGTACCAGGAGGACTAAGCGCTCTTCCATCTAGAAAGAGACGTCGGTTCAGCTTGCACAGGCTCTCCTAGAGCTACCTGGCCTTGAACCCAGGCTCTTTTGGCCAGACTCTTTCCAGTGGTGCCCAGCGACAGGACAAGGGGCAATGAGCACAAACTGAAGCTGCAGCTGAAGATGAAGAAGAACTTCTTCCCTCTGAGGGTGATGGAGCCCTGGCCCAGGCTGCCCAGGGAGGTTGTGGAGTCTCCTTCTCTGGAGATATTCAAGCCCCGCCTGGATGACGTCCTGTGCAGCCTGCTCTGGGTGACCCTGCTTCGGAAGAGGGGTTGGACTGGGTGACCCCAGAGGGCCCTTCCAACCCCCGCCATGCTGGGATTCTGTGATGATTCTGTGATTCTGTGAACAGGAGGAAGAGTTCACCGAGGTAGTGCGTACCCGAAAATTAATCGATCAACCCTTGCCCTTAACCCTGAAATCTGGTCAAACCCAGCGCCACAACAAACTGCACGTGGGTTCCTACAATCTCCATGAAGTCATTTAAAAGGAATTTCTTCATTACACAACGAGATGATGACCTAAATGCCACACGAGCAGGTTTTGCCCCGGCTTTCGCCCTAAACCCTAAAAGCAGGCATGAGGCAAGTGACCCCAAGCACAGCCATAAAGAACACGGCACAGCAGGGCTGGGTTTGCCCAAGTTAAAAGCTGTGATTTGCAGCGCTCCAGCACCTTCTCTGCTCCCAGCAGAAAACGTTGAGCAGTTGGGCTCTGCCAGCCTGCCTGTACCACACCGGGGCACGCACGGCGAATCTCCGGGACGGGGACCGTGACACCTGCGAAGGCTCCGTGCCAAGCTGGAAGAGCCGTGACGCGTCTCGGACGAGGGACCGTGTACCCAGCGCAGGTAAACAGCGAGACAAGAGGGAAAGGGGGACTCAGCACGCCCAGGAGAAAAGCGGGGCCGTGCCAAAGGTCTGCTCCTACGACACGCAGAGCTCTTTGGAGCCTGACTACACGAGGTGCCTTTGCGCTTCTGCCCCGCAGAGAAAGCCCTGCGGAGATTGATGGTGGAAGAGAAGCCGCTCCAGGGACTGACAGGCTGCGACCAAGCGTCGCCCAAGTTCGAGGAGGGAGGTTCGCTGCTCCTGGTGTCTCCACTTCTCAGAAGCCCTCTGACACTGCCCCAGTGAGGCCTCATCTGGAGTACTCTGTCCAGTTCTGCGCTCCCCAGTTCCAGAAAGATGAGGAGCTGCTGGAGAGAGTCCAGCGGAGGGCTGCGAGGATGAGGAGGGGAGTGGAGCACCTCTCCTCCGAGGAGAGGCTGAGGGAGCTGGGCTTGTTCAGCCTGAAGAAGAGAAAGATGAGGAGCTACTGGAGAGAGGCC